GAGAACTGTAGAAAAAATATTTCCATATTCTGGTGTGATCCATTTTTGGGGCACACCCTACTACTTTAGTATTTTAAACAGCAAAAAAAAAAAAAGTTTAATCAACAATACTTTTACTTCTACAGAGGGAACACCACATATAGCACATAATCGACGTATAATCAACTGCGTTGCTATGACGACACAAGCTGTGCAGACAAAAACATTTCCGTGTTCAAGTTTGATCCATTTCTCCTCACTCCACAGACGATGAATCCCGAGGATGAGCTGAACGATCTGCGAGTTCAGTTCCAGGAACTGCAGAAGCAGCAGGAGAAGAGAAAAGTGGCCTTGAAAAAGAAGAAAGCTCCGGATAAGTTTGACGCCAAAAGCATTTTACGTGACGACCTGAATCTGCTGCAGCAGGGGTTTCAGGGAGACAACGTGGCCACAAATGACAAGTGAGATTCTCCTTCACCTCACTCCTACTTTTCTTCTCTCATGATCTTCCCTCTCTCTCGTTTTCACCTGACCTTTTCTCCTGACCTTTTTTAAGACCTCTGCAGAACGAGAACAGGAACCTGCGAGATCAGCTGCGGCAGGTGAAAGAGGAAAACGACAAACTCCTCGAAGCGCTGGACGAGAAGGATTATGAAATCAAGAAGCTGAAGAAGAAAGTGGAACTCAACCAGGAGCACCTGGCACTGTTTGGCCAGGCCGGTCTGCCAGGAGACATGGCCGCCACCAAGATCATCGAACTGTCCAAGAAGATCAGGGACATGTCCACCGAGCTGGAGCGGGAAAAGCTGAAGACGAGGCAGAGCAGCAACCGAGTCAGAGATCTGGAGAGAGAGGTTTGGACGGAGATGGACTCATTTTGGATTGAACTGAATTACATTGGATTGATGCACATTTAGTTGAATTAATTCAATTTGATTTTATTCAACTTCATTTCTCTATGCAAAGTCACTGTATCGTGGATTTAATTATAATTATTTAATTATAATTATTTATTATTTTTATTGTATTGTATATGGATTTAATTAAATTATTATTTATTATTTTTATTGTATTGTATCAACAAACTGATTATTTTATGTGGTAAAGGTAATACATTTACATAGTTTTTGTATCATGGATTTAAAGTGGAAATTCAGTTTAATTTCCACAGTCATCGTCTAATGCATTACATCAGTGGTCCCAAACCCCTGGTCAGGGGACCCGTGCCAGTCCGTAGGTCATTTGGTACCAGTCCACAGTGGGACACAGTAAAAAAAATGTACTTCAGTTTTTGCTAATGTACTTCATTCCAAAAGAACCCAGTCATATCCCTTTAATTTTGTCATTCAAAGATAATCTGACAATGTTTCAGGTCAAAGGTCAAAGGTCATTCGGACTCTGATACTATCAGAAGAAAGTTTGAAAGAGGTTTTATTTTGAAAATGTAATGATCCTTTAACAATGGCGTGGTATTACTGGTCCACAGAAACGGATGATACCAGCTGACCGGTCCTCGGTACATAAAAGGTCAGGGACCGCTGCGTTAGATTATTTCATATTTATAACATGTTTTTTTTTTTTTTCTACAGCTGCAGAAAGCGTCGGTGCCCGGGGCAGCTGAGATGAATCCAAAGTCACAGAAGGAGAAGGGCGTGTGTGAAGACACTGAGGTAAAGACGCAAAGTCAAACCACAGTCCAAAAAAAAAAAAAAAAACCCGAACTCAAAATTTTATCTTTACTCAACCAGAATCTTTTTTTTTAATTCGTAAAAGCAGGAAAACCCAGCGTTGAAATCCCTTCAAGAGAAATTCACTGCTTCCCAACTGAAGGTGACCGAGTATCGCAACCAGGTTCAGTCCGTGAAACAGGAACTGAAAATAGCTCAGAAGGTAAAATCTTCTTTTACATATACAGTAATGTTATAATATAACACGACAGGGACCTTGAACCTGACGAAGCCGTTTGACCGCTGTTGCAGGTTCTGGCCAGTGAGCTCGGAGAAGAGGTCAACCTTCAAACCCTGCTCAAC